TACATACATACATACAATCTCCTCCACCGCCTTTTGTTACCCTCCTCTCTGATGCACGATGCACAATCGTCAACGCCTCACAAGGGTCATGTGCAGCAGACAATTCCCTCTCTGCACTGCATGCAATGCCGAACCCTGTTGGCCTGTCACATTCTTGTGTTTCTCGCTTCGTCTTGAATAGGAAGTTTTCCGCTTAGCTCTCGGATTCCCTGCCAGGGCTTTAATCTTGGAGGAGCCGGGGGCCTCTCTGTTGGTCTCGAGTTGAGCCTGGTGCCTCTGCAGCACAACCCTACCTAGATTGCCGCCGTTAAATGTCTCGACTGTGGCTCCATAACTGGTATCCGTATTGTCTCCGAATATTTGCTTTTTTTCCCCCCTCCTCCTCGCCTTTGTGGTCATGGTGGCTTGCGAGACTCCTGTTTAATGATAATCAACCTTCTGGGGCCGCAGATGAGAGGTGATTAAACGACTCGTGCATTGTGGCTGAATCAAGAGGATCATCAATCATTAGTTTTCTCTTTTAACTATCCGTAACTGTTCCATCATTGCCGGTGGTGGAGATGACGACTACAGGTTACGGCGCTTCTTGAATAAGTGTTATATGTACTACTATTGCTTCCTGACTTCTGCGCATATCAATTGTGGTCTTGTGCTGAGTTTCTGCCAAGACCCTGTGTCGCCAAACGACAATTCGTCGACCTTGAAAGGTGCAAGAAGAGGCGGATTAGATGAGTCACCCTTTCTGTTTCGTTGAAGGCGGGACCTACTATGCATATGAGGTTCTATCACACCGTATAATGGTAGTTGCATCTTCTTCATACTATGTATGTGGTTGGCTACTTGAACTACCTACTAACCTAAGGGTTGAGGCTCACTCCATTTCCCATCTCCCACTCTTTCCCCCATCCTTGAGGACAACTCTCAACCCCTCGATGACCATGCCCTTATCCACAGCCTTGCACATATCGTAAACTGTCAATGCCGCCGTAGACGCCGCCGTCAGCGCCTCCATCTCCACCCCCGTCTTTCCGTCGCACGTGACCGTGGCTACGATCTCGACTCTGTCGTCACCCCTGACGTCGAGATCAACCGCGGCCTTGGAGAGCGAGATCGGATGACAGAGTGGGATCAGATCTGGAGTTCGCTTCGATGCCATGATGCCAGCGATCCGCGCGACCCCCAGGACATCCCCCTTCTTCATCTGATTGTCTCTGATGAGCCCAATCGCTGTGCTGTTTGAGAATCGGACGGTGCATGCAGCTTTGGCGATGCGTGATGTCACCGTCTTGTCTGATATGGAGACCATCCGTGCCTCCCCCGAGGCAGAGACATGTGTCAGCTTTGCGTTGTCGCTGTTGTCCTGTCCTCGGACATGGCGACTCTTGGAGAAGAGTCGCTGCTGTGTGGAAACAGACCGGCCAGCCTTGAAGCTGGGACCGTTATGCAGAAGGGATTGTATTCGAGGAGGCATGGCGCGCAATGACCAAGACCGACCAAGCGTATCTACAACAAAAACTCAATTCAGTATTACTTCCATCTCATATAAGAGGGTGTCCAAGCCTCAAAGTTTAAGTAGCGAAAAGAAGAAAGAAAGAAAAACGACCCTTCAACGCCAGCCCATATGTGCATGATAGTTGCCCCGCGAACAATCTCTGAATAACGTCTCTTGAACCATACACCTTGAGTCTGACATTTCGAATCATGCGTGGGGATTTTGCGCAAGATGAGCAGGGGTGGAGTCACCCACCTATCAAGATCATGGGCCTATTCTTCATATGCTCGAGCTCACCGATGCCCGCATGTTTTGCCTTCTTTCTCTTGACAGCAGCTCCAATGACTTCGAGCAGCTCCATCTCATTAGGTGCCAGGCCGAGAGGAGTCCGGTCTGATGTTAACAAGTCCCTCCGCCGGTCCATCTCGATCTGTCTCATGGCATCGAAAGCCTGCTCATCGATGGGCTCGCCGCTGTTGGACTTCCGCAGGATATCGCGTAGAGAGACCTCAGCATTGCCAAACAAGCACACCTTGAGGTTGCCGTCACCAGTTATTCGAAGACGGTTGCAAGTACCGCAGAAGTTGTGCGTCATGCTCGTGATGAAGCCTATTCTGCCAGTGAAGCCTGGAATGTGCCACGTCTTGCTTGTATCGTTCTTGTGATCCTGCACTTTTTGCAGCGTCGGGTACTTTGTCCTGATGAGGTCCAGCATCTCTTGGTAGCTAAACATCTTATTTTTGCTCCATTTGTTACCGTCGAATGGCATGTACTCGATGAAGCGGACTTCGACGTCCTTTTCTTCCGTCAGGCCCACGAATGGGAGCACCTCTCTGTCGTTGACACCCCTCATGACCACGCAATTGATCTTGAGCTTGATGCCAGCACCAAGTCTGTTGAGCTCGAGAATCCTATCGATGCTCTTCTGCACGGCCTCGAAGCCTTTCCTCCTCGTCATGATCTGGAATTGCCAAGGGTCCAGAGTGTCGAGGCTCAGGTTGACGCCCGTCAGCCCACTCTCGATCATGCTGTCGAGCTTCCGGTGCAGAGAGATGCCGTTGGTTGTGATGCAGATCTCCTTTAGACCATGCCGTCGCAGCTCTCCAATCTGTTGCATCAGAGGTAGGATATCCCGCCGCACAGTCGGTTCTCCTCCCGTCAACCTGATCTTAGTCACACCCTGCGAGACAAATACGGACGATAAGAGGACAATCTCTGGAGTTGTCAAGAGCTCTCGGTTTGGCGACAAGGGCACGCCTTCTTCGGGCATGCAGTAGACGCACCGCAAATTGCATCGCTCCGAGACAGATATGCGAAGGTAATCATGTTGTCGGTGGAAGGTATCTGTGAGGAAGTCGGAGAAGGGCTTTGAGTCTCGGATGCGCCGGCGGCGAGACTGTAGGAGGTCGATCTCTGGTGTTGCAGAGGGAGGTTCGCGGGGTGCCTCTTGGGGTCTCGCAGAAGCTGTCGCAATGGTTCTGAAGGAGGGACAAGCGAGGAGCACTCGTGAAGGAGCCGTTCGTTGTAGGGTAGGTTTAGCTTTGGCTAGGGCCGAAGGTTTGGAGCCTAAAAGGCGAAGCAACGACATGTTTTTAAGGTGTTATACGGAGTAATACCTACCAAGTTATATACTTGACAAGTGAGGGAGGATGGATGGTTAGGTAAGTGTGTGTGTATATATATACATATATATGAGGGGTTCGTTCCCTAAGATTCCATTGTTTCGTGCTATCGCAAATACGATGCGACAATGAGGCAGGAGAGAGAGAGAGAGAGAGAAAGCAAAGAGGTTGGCAAGTGAAGGAATAATAAGCTGACCTGGTGTCTCTGTCGGCCGTCGGCGCTTCGTTTAAGAATATCTTACCTTAGTCCCAACCCTAGGTCGGTACCTACCTATCATGACCTTAGTTAGTAGGTAAGTAGATAGGTCAAATACGCAAGTATGAAGTATCTGTCCCTCTTGAGCTACGGTATCCAATCTTATCATGGGGCCCGCTCGCCACAATTCGATCCCCGCGCTGAGTAATGGAAACAGCCTCCAGTCTAATAACATTACCTACCTAGGTAGGTACCTAGTTCAAGCCGCGGAGTTGCACAGACTGCAGCAGTAACGTTAGTTCGAAAGTGGAATGTTAAAGAGGCATTGGTGCTATACTGGCAACTTGTCAGCGGATTGTAGTCAGGTGGATTGCTCACTCGTTCGACGTGGAATTGGCTCTTCTTCCAATGCTTACTCTGTAAGGTAAGGTATATACCTAGGTATTTCAGAATACCTGGGGCTTGTTCGTGTGCATGATACAAATCCATCATGGAACATGCATATCAGACCCTGATAACCTGATGACCAATTAGGAAACACTAGCTGACCTATGTATGAGTAAGGATATTCAGTCCCATGAGGCGCCATGCCTACCTTACCTTATTCTCATACGCAAATTAGTATTTCCGCATAAGCACTAAACACAGAGCCGCCTGATTTAGACGCACTCAACATAGCATTATAGGCTGGCGTCTCCAAGATTTCGATGATAGGTGAGTTACTGTTGTCTAGGTATACTGGTGAATACAAACAATTACCTACCTACCTAGTGCCTACCAATTCCTTGACATCGCAATATACGTACTTACTACAATGGAAGGCTACCTTACCTTGGTCGGTTAGTAGGTTCCAGGCATGTTCAGCGAGCGCATCACCCTTCCACTTTGACGGCTGGTGACGCTAGCACAGATGAGGAAATATCAAAACATTAAAATATCCCCCACCTTTAATAAGTGCTTTCTCACTACACACTGGTAACTATCGGTTTGAAGACAGAATAATTGAGCCACCCAAAAGAGAATCGATGCTAAAGACCACCACAACACAAAGAGAATCTGATAGATCGAAGCAAGACTTGAACGAGACCGTCGCCTGACTTTCCCCTTTTCCTTTGCTACCTGCCTTAGTCAACTACTTTGTAACCCCGCCCTCACGATTCGATTGCTCTCTCTCTCTCTCTCTCATCTTTAACACCTCTCTTCAAGTGACAGTCGTGATGCATCCCTCACGTATCTTCAAGGGTTGGTGTAATCTACCTTCCTATACAAATCCTAGAACACATCAACTCTCCTGGGCTCAGATCTCCCCTCCTCTCATCCTTTTAGTAGACAGCACCTGAGACGCTGAACACTGACCAGGATTCACAGCATCACCTCATTGCGTGCCCAGCCCTGACGGAAGATTCATTGCTACCCTATCATCGCAGAGCATCACAGTGCGCTTAGCTCTCTCGCTCTCGATTGCGCATGTGGTCAAATTGCCCTCAGATCTCACCACCCCCGTAACCACGCTCGCATGGTCACCGTCATCGTCTCGTATCCTTGTTGCAACTGCCGATCAGATTCATGTCTCGTCAATAGTTGACTCGTCATTTCGTGCCACGATCAAGAACCCTGCAGTTGGAGGCGGAAAGCAGACACTTGTACAGTTTGGCGCCCATGATGATGAGGTCTTTGCGTGTGCTGCATTTGGCCTCAAGTTTTCCATTTTCGATCTATCAACTTCCAAAGCTATCGAGATAAGCAACCCCAAGTTTCATCTCCCCTCATCCGCCCCCAGGGGCCTTTCTGTACGACCCCAGACGTCACATCTTGCCATCTTGACCCGGACAAATGGTCGAGATGCTGTCAGTATTCACCATCCCAAATCGAGGCAAGTTCTGCGATCTTGGTACCCGGAAACAGTCGACGCTCATGGCTTGAAATGGACCCCTGACGGTCAATGGCTTCTGCTGTGGGACGCCCCAGCACATGGGCATAGGCTCTTACTCTACGCCCCCGACGGCCAGCCTTTCCGCTCTATTCTGGCATCCAGCATCACGGGAGGCGAGGATGCCGATCTCGAGACGGGGATTAAGAATTGCAGCCTCAGTCCTGACGCGTCGTTCTGTGCCATGGGCGATGGCAGCAGAACAGTGGGCGCTCTCAGCACGCAGACATGGAGAGGTGGTCTGAAATTTGTGCATCCCACTACGGTCGTCCCCAAGGACACTCTGCAGGTGAGCCCACTTCATATACGGCTTGCTTTCATTCTCACATATTATCCTAGGTCTGGCAGGAGCGGCTGAACGATTCGCACCATGGAGGGAGCCCGTATGCATTTCTTCGCGCGAACCAGATGGTCGCACCTCCCAACCGACTGGCCGACGGCAAGGTCCCCAACGAGATCAGAGTTGGATGTTCTTCATTGGCCTTTGATGCATCTTCGACTCTGCTAGTCACAAAGCTTGATGATACCCCTACCACGCTGTGGATCTGGGATGTCACCGCCGCTGAGCTTCGGGCAGTACTCATGTTTCACTCAGTAGTGGACTTTCATTGGCATCCCACTGCCCGTGAGCTTCTTCTCGTGACATGCCAAGATGAAAAATATCGTGGTGTGTCCTTCGTTTGGGACCCCCTGTCCGAAGGTCCCAAGCCGGTCTCTTTGGGCGCTTATTTGCCAAACGGAAAGATTGTTGGAAGGACTAGAACAACATGGATCAACAGTGACCCCGAATTCCCGGTTCTGATGATCTCAGACGCGCAAAACGGAGTCTTGGTATCGTGCTCAGATGGGGCACAATGCCCGACTCTATGGCGCGAGGGGGCAGTTGGCGATAGAACCATAGGATCGGTACAGGATCTTGGAGACACTGTCGACATATCTTCTCTGATGCCGGACGACACATCCACTTTGGACGATACCTTCTCTTTCAAGCATATATAGAAGAAGCGTCGCCAGGGCCACCTCTGTACGGCACAAACTGAATGACCTCATTCAGGAAATGGTTACGGCTTGGCACGTGTAAGGTTAAAAAGGGAGGGAAGCAGGCTGGACTCTGTTGGAAATGATATCCCGCATTTGAGTCATTCCAGTGGCTAGGCGTGTTACACAAATGGCGCTTCCATTTGATGTCAAGGGCACGACTGCATATCGAGGCTGTCATAAAAGGCGTGTAGTTTCCTCTTCTCTCGTGGCAGCGCAGCTTGCAAATTGCACTTCCAATAAGCAACGAATCGAATCCACGTTTTGTTGGCGCCACGGAAGCGACATGCGCGCATGGCTGCGAAAAGAGACCTCAGGTAATGGGTTACTACTGCTCTTGTCACCGTGAGACCAAGAGAGAAATGTTGGTACCTTCGCCGGGCATTCGATCATCGCCTTGAATGTCGATGGATCTGTCACTACTCAACACCCAGCCAACTGAGATTTCGTCAGATGGTGGAGCAGTGATCGCAATATGATATATCATTATCTCATGCGGGACTCAACCCGGTCCTCTGCATGTCGACCAGGGAGAGACATGCCTAGACATTTACGGCCGGTGGCTTGGATCGATCTACAGCAGCTGGGCAGACAGCTGAGTCGAGGGACAACGCCTAGGAGCATCTGCGCCCTCTGAAGATATCTACTCTAGCGTCCAAGCGCGAAACGAACCTCCTTAGTTTCGCAACGACAATGAACCCTACGGCTCCGGACGATCTGCCCCTAGCTGGAACCCCACATCTCGAGGCTGAGAGTCAGGATGCATGTCGAAGCGCTGACAGGGATTCTCGGGTTACACTGCACCGTTAATCATCCAGGAGGAGGCGAGCTTGCTAGATCCAGACTTGTTAGTCTCAACGTTTCTCGGCGTTCTCTCAATGCTGAGACGATATGCGCCTCCGCAAACCACCCATATTCCGGTGTCATTTCCAGACCCCGGGGCGCCAAAATTATGGCCTGATGCTGGGATCGAATGCAAGCGAATCCAGAGCTGGTAAAGAACGATTTAAAAGCAACGTTTGGGAGATGCTAGACGGGTTGTTGTCTCTTCTGATCCTATCTTGTCGCTCCCATACTAGCTGTTGCAAGAAGCTAGATATAAAGCATACATACGGCCTTTGCTTGTCATTGATTCACAATATGACCGAGCCTGATTCGAAGCCTTCAAGAGACTTCATCCAGAGCCCTGGAGACAGCGTGACTCAGTGATGAGATAGTACAGTTGGCCGCTCCCAGCTGTCTCTTTACTACTGCGCACTCCCCGTTGCTTCTCATGTCATCGTCACACAACCTTTTGAATTTCTTTCCACACTTTTGTAGCATCGCACAAGACCTCGTTCGGAACTGGAAACTTGTCGGCTCCGTGCAGATTACTTCAACCTATGCCTGCCGAAGCTACAGTCCAAGCGGACGTTGGTCCCGGCGATGAGACTGGTATCTACTACATTACCATTGCCAACGTACGACCTCTCACACCCATCATGACCTGTGCTACGGTAACGAAGCTGACTACTCTTTCAGTTACCATTCGCAACCTCGTGGCAGGAGTTGAAAGACTGGACACGTACTGCATGCGTGGTGGACCATATCGAGGTCTTCCAGAGCAGTACCTCAGGATGGGTCAGAGTCCGGGGAAGAGAGAACTTTGAAAGAGCTTGGGGTAGGCATATGTATCGCAAGACGAGTATATGGCCGAGCTAATATGGTAGTAGCACTTCTCAACGGCGGCGTTTTCAAAGGTCGCTCGATCATTGCGTCTGACAGAAACCGTAAGCATTCTATCAAGATCAAGGAGCTTGCTA